AGAGAGAGAGAGAGAGAGAGAGAGAGAGAGAGACAGGGAGAGAGACAGAGAGACAGAGACAGAGAGACAGAGAGACAGAGATATTTTGCAATGGTCTGTGAGAACAATAAAATAAGACAGACCCCTACAAATGGAGGGAGAAGATCATTTAGAGACATTAAGTCTTTTCTGAGTAGATGACACCCAAACCTAAGTTATTGGACAGCTCATCAAACTAAGTTTAAGGAAAAGAGCATTCCACCCACTAGTTGATGACCCTCAGAGTGGGGAGCTACCCTCAGAGCGGTGGAACCCCACACAGAATGTCAGGTGAGAACTGCATGTGTCCTCGCACCATGGGCACCCCAAGACACCCTGCAGGGGAAGGGAATAGCATCTTCCTTGGCTGGCACTTGTCCGCACCAGGTGGGGGATGTGGTCCAAGGATGTTTGGGCTTCAACCCAAGGAACACATTCCTTAGCTACACTTGACTAGGGCCGATTTCAATACCCTCCCAGCTGATGTTACAGATATCCCAGCTATCCATCTCTGCTCACTTTCATACGCCTCCTGATCCTTGTTGTTTTCCTCGTTGTCAGTCTCTGCTGCTCATTGCTCCCCTCTGGACACCTTCCAAATTGACTCCACCTGAGTGCATGCGGGGTAATGAAGCAGCCAATGAGAGCGCTGTTCTCCCACCATCGTGTCCCTAGACCTTCCCTATTCTTTTTAAAAATAGCATTCCCCCTCTAAACACCAACATGATACCGCAAACCAATATCTAATTTTCTGTCTGCTCTCACCTCTGGGTTTTTCTCTGTCATTACTGAGTTCAGAGCTTCTCAGTCATGAAATAGCTACATTTTGCATTCTGCTTTTCTGTTTCAAGCAGTGCTTTCAGTTTTTCCAATCTTCCTTGTACTCTCTAGGCTCATGATCCTCCAAGTCTCTAATCTCACTCAGCCCCTGTGAATTTCCCCCTTCGGCTGCTGATCCTAGGCACCCCTGTCCTGGCTGGCATGCTTGCCTAGTTCTGTCCTCTATATTATTGACTGTTTTCCTGCTCTGGACTAAAATTATCTAAAAGGGCGGCAGAGAAAGAAGATGGTGACTTTACAGCTTTATATTGCAGAGAGGGACACAATGAAAAAAAAATCACACCAAAGAAAGCCCAGGCATGTGAGGGGCTGCAAACATGTACGCAGCGATTTAGGAGTTCCTTAGCAGCTCAGTAATGTATGTCTTCAATCCCACTGGTAAGCAAACAACGGGCTTCCAGCCTCCAGTTACCACTGTAAAAGGAACCTAAATGGGAGTGAAGGCAGAATCTACATTTTATAGCGAGCGAGTTTGACCTGTGTTGCAACCTCTGATTGGTATTATATGAAAAAGCAGTCCATGAAGAATCCTGAAACAATGCTGAATAAATTTTCCTTGATGCACTAAGCCTTTCACATGGAAACATGTGCACAATTTGTGGGTGAAACTCCCAGGGGTTGAATTCCCCATATTTACTGATGTTTCCACTTGGCTTTCAGCCTTCTAAATGGTATTTTTTCCTATAGGAACTTTTTACCAAGTTTTTTTTTTAAGATTTATTTATTTTATGTGTATGAGTACTCTATCTGCATGTATGCCTTTATACCAGGAGAGGGCAACAGATCCCACTATAGATGGTTGTGAGCCACCACGTGGTTGCTGGGAATTGAACTCAGGACCTCTGGAAAAGCAGCCAGTGCTCTTAACCTCTGAGCCATGTCTCCAGGTCCCCAAGTTCACTTCTTAATCTAGTGATGTCTTCTGACTTACCCTTCTACCTAGCAGCTGCTTCTTTAGCAAGGGACATGGTGACAATTGAATCTAGGAAATTTTATTTCCTTGGAATCAAAAATCAAACTTTAAGTTCATAAACATTTCCCTCCAAATAGAAGAAGGTACCCAATATGGCATTGTTGATAATGCCCTAGTCTTTTCCATTTTAACAACCCTGCCTGCTCCCCTTTTTTCAGCTCCTGGCATGATCCATACTTTTAGGATGCATGAGTTTGCTTCCCTCTTTCTATTCAGTTCTCACCTGGACCATCTCACACAAAGCAAAAAAGCCACTGCCATCAATCACCATCAGTGTCCATGTCAATGGCAATTACAGATAGAGCTGGGCTCCGAAATGTTGGCATCTTTGACATTCTTGGCTTGGTCTTTGTTCTGTTTTCCCTAAGGTTGAAGCTCAGAGCATCGTCTCCAATCTGCATCTACTTTCCCTTCTCCTTCTTTCTCTTCTATACTCCATTTTCTCTTTTTCCAATACTAACAGCTTTACAACAAACACTTGAGGCCATTTGAGCAGGCCAAAGGGCTGAACTCTCTTCAACTAATTCATTTTCCACTGGGAGTGTTTCCTGCTGTGTCCGCAGAGACACTTGATTGGGACCATTTGAGCACACTAAAGGAAAAGGGGCATTCTTGATTGCATTAAGACATTTCTGTTTTGAAAGTTGGCTCGCTTGTATTTTGCAGTCTGCTTTTTGTGTGTGCAGGGGTGGCTGGGGGTTGAATGTTGGCTTTTCACACTCTAGGCAAGTGCTCTAACCCTGAACAGTATCTAAAGCCCTCATCGCTAATTCTTGTGTGTGTGTGTATGTGTGTGTGTGTAAGCCAGAGGTTGACATCTAGTGCCTTGTTCATTTCCTTTCCACCATAGTTTTTGAGATAGGGTCTCTCACTGAGCCTGATTTAGCTTGGCTAGTTGACCATCAATGTTTCTGTGTCCTTAAATCTCTGTCTTTTCAGTGCTGGGATCATGGATGTGCTTCTTTGTGCTGTCTGCTTTTCTGATGTGGGTCCTGGAGGATCAATCTAAGAGCCTCATGCTTGCATGGCAAGAACTTTATTAGTGGAACCATTTCCCCAGCTACATTTTTATTGATTTTTTCTCTCTCTACTTTCATGAGCTACCTGTAATGTGGAATTTTGAGGTACCACGGTAGGACAGCACCATAACCTAGGCCTTGTGGTGGATGCTCAGCATCTATTATAATTTCTTGGTCTCAGAACATTCTGTATCCTTTAACACTCTCATATTGGAGGTTCATCATGGGCATATTTCTGCACCAAGTTCAGCACATAACACATTTTCTAAGCTTCTAGAGGAAGAGGATGTGTTTTGGCCAAAGAGTTATGGGGCTACATCTGACTCTGTATCAATTTAGTAAACTTGTTTTTACATTTTTTCACAGTGTCTGCAAAGAAAGGTATTGTCATGTTCTATCATCATCAAAATATTATATCTGCAAATCCAAGTTTTCTTTGCTTTGAGTAGTTACCAAGCAGGATCAGAACACTGGGCTTTGAGACATGCAAAGTTGGCTAATTTAGGCACATGGGATTTACTTAGGCTTTCCTTATGGGTTCATATTTTATCCTTTTTTCTTTGTATCTTTCTGTTCAGATACTAGCAAAAAGACAAAAGCAATACTTCCATCAATTCAGCCGCTTATTCCCTAACTTGGGCAATAATTCCCAGTGACTCAGGGGTGCCTGAAGGAATGTGTCATTCCTCTTTTCCCAGGCATCCCAGAGAAGGACTTGCCTCAGATACAGCCTCCCTTGAAACAAGTTCAAGCCTACTTTCAGACTAAATTCATCCCAGTGCCATCTGAGCAGCAACACAGAAATAAAAAGGCAGATTCTGATTAGATATTATTCTCCATTGGAATGCTCAAACTACCAAACATTGTACAGTAAAACTGTCTACTGTCCACTTAGGCTGTGTGCATTTCATTATCAGAAATAATGTCCTAGCGTGGGGGCTGTGCACAGGGTCTGTTATAATATTCTCTCTGCTCAGACCTGCCTGGACAAGAAGAGCATGGAACCCGTGACCTGTGTGGTGCTTCAGATCCTCAGGCAATGCTACCCCGAGAGTCCACTTCCCCTGCTCACAGCCACTAGTGCCTACACCTTCCCAGCTCCCGGGGGCACCAGCTCGGGGCTTCCACAAGCTCCAACTGAAGGTAAGGTAGCAGACAGCTTTCAGAGGAGTATTTGCAGAGTGTTTGCATTTTACAACACGTCAGAGGGATGGGGAATCAAGGAGAAGCAGTGGTTGTACAGGTCAACCATGGTCTTCTAATGAGCTCATTAGAGACATGTATGAAGGAATAGACTTTTTTTTTTATAAGCAGAGAGAACAAGCATTGTACTCACTCACATTGTCCCTAATTATTAGCTGTCGTCGCTTTGCCTGGTGGCTACTGAGTGCCTGCACAGTCATTTCATCTAATTAAGAAAAACAATCTTTTCACAATTTTGTGACCCAATCTCTTTACTGCACTGTCTGTTGGTGGAATTAATTTGTCTTTTGAACAAAACTGAAATAAAACTTTCACCATGTTAAACCCCATGATACATGGTTTATGATATCGGAAAGTGTGGATGATTCGACCTCCAGGGAGATCTTAAAGTCAAAGACTCTAATGCTGTTTACCCCACCTTCCTTCTGTGGAGCAGATTTCCCACAGTTGGAATTTTTGTCACGTGGCAACTGATACTTTCTAAACTGAGTGGATAATTCTGAAATGAATTCCTCCATTTGAAAGTTAGGGACCTAATCGAGGCACTATCTCAGTTACAATGAGTTTAGTGTGCACGTGGTCTGTAAACTTGGAGACAATGTCAGTTGCATCAATACTTCAAATTGAATGGGAGGGTAACAGTAGTGTCATTTGTGTCCAGATTCATTTTCCATTTCACATAGAGCATCAGTCTAGGCGTCATAGCATCCTGCTCACATATGCTCATGTGCACAGTAAGTACAGAAATCAGCGAGCAGGGATACATGTACACTTGCTTTGTAATGGGTCCCTTATTTGCAAGAAATACAAGGCATTGTGCATGACAGGGTAAATACCAGACAATGAGCATCCTCATTCTTTTGTCTCCTTTTTCCACTCAGAAGATTTTGAAGATGATGGTGAGGAGGAGATTGACAAAGACTCAGATGTGGAGGCTGTGAAAGAAGTAGGTAAACCAGCCCTTGCTTGCCACGATATCCATACTGACGCTATGCAAAAGAAAATGTATCACTTCCTGTGTTTACTCCAGCATTGCCACTCCAATGATAGTGATGTCTAGAAGGCACAGATACTGCTGCTGGTTTTGCAGATGTCATTTTTATCTTGCTATGTCTAGTACATAGTCTGTTTGTAGAATCAGGTCTATTGATTATGATCCAAATATTCTATCTGACAGAATCATGCTTAGGGTTGGTGTATTTAATAAGTGCATAGAAGGATGTTTTAGGAAACATTCTGCTAGACCTGAAGTGTCTTCATAAATCCATTTTCTTATCCCCTGTCCATTCTGCACAGGGTTGTAGGCCTGTGCATTCCCATTCACACTTACGTGAATTAGTCTTTCTTACCTTGCAATGTGTGCAGCTCATTTCCCAAAGAAGTGATGCTCCTGGTTCCCTCTCACACAATGGTCCATGAAAGGGAGGTTAGTGAACTATTTTTTTAATCAAAGTTCACATAGTAATTATTCTATACTCTTGGAACCACATGCTCTTTGTTTTAATGACTCATTTTGCCATCACAACACAAAAACTGGCATCCACACTATCTGAGTGAATGGGTATGGCTGTTTTTCAGTTTGAAGAACATAGTTTGTTTATAGCTTTTTTTGTGATAGGCATTTTAAACTTTATCATTGTTTGACTATTGACTGGATATTTCTTATTCAGAGGGTTTCTTACACATTGTGGGATGCTTCACAGCATCCCTGTTCTCTGTCACTTGTCACCCATAGCATCCATCACTTTACCCCTCATTCATGAACCAAAAATAGCTCTAGAAACTGCCGACCACTCCTAATTGACAGCCATTCTCCTCAAAAAATGATAGTTGGTCTATGAGTTATCATTCTGTCTCCATTTCTCCTGCTGCTGTATGTAGTGTTGGGTAAGTTTCTCCATTTATAGTTCCGTGATTTTGTCATCTGTGGCATAAGATCCAAGAGACAGTCCTAGAGGTGAAATTCAAACTTAAAAAGTCTTCTGTACCAGCAGGATGGCTCAGCAGATAAAGGCGATTGCTGCGAAGCTTAATGATCTGAGTTCGATCCCCAGAACCCACAGGTCAGAAGGAAAGAATCATCTTTCCCAAGTTGTCCTCTCACCTCTGTGAATACACACATTCACGTGTGTGCATACATGCATGCACACGTACACACATGTACATGGGCATAAACACACACATATGTACCCCCTCACATGCACCTACAGACACAGGCAGCCCCCCATCCTCTCACATGCAGACAGACAGACAGAAAGACACACACATACACACCACATAATTTAAAATGTTATACAAAAGTAAAAGAAACAAGTCCCTCCCTCTCTTCTTCTCCCCTTTCCCCTCCCTTCCCTCTCTTCTCCCTTCCTCTGTCCCCTTCTGTCCTTTCCTGGAGAGAGGTTTTGGAGTTCTCTGTCCGAGAAGTCTCTCACCTTGCTGATGGTGGTAGCAGACATCTAGGGGCTATCTCTCAGTCCCATCTCTGGGCGTAGACTGCTATTGACAGTCTGACGGTCCCAGGGTTTTGTTGATAAATAGAATCATTTCTGAAGTCATCAGTAGCAAATTGGTTCTTTGCTGTGCCTTGGCCACGCAGGCCTATAGAGTACGTGCAGAATCATTTGAATAATACTGGGCTGCTGCAGTCATTCATCAATGCCACCTTCCACTCCCCTCTGGCTTGCACTCTGATAACTGGATGTCTGATGCACTGTCAGTTGCCTCTTGTATCTGATGCAGGGGGACACAGTAGATGACATGCCTGAGTCCACACAGCTAGCTAGAGTGGGAGGGGGTCCTGGTACTTTCCCCAACTCCACTCTGGAGAGGATGGAAGGGTAGGAGGGAGTGGAAACTAAACAAATAGAAAAATCCCACTGGGAAAGAAGCAGAAGATAAATCGGTGAGGGCCTGGAAGCTATTCATCAAAGCTTATGGCTGAGGAGAGGATGAGAACTGGGTGTGAATCTGAGCTCTGGAGCAATGGGGTGGCATAGGAATTAGGCTTGCCTTGGGGTACAGCAAGCCTAGGAGAGCTGGTCCTCCAACAACTAGCCTTTCCTTGGTGGACACTGTAGCATTTGCTGCCGATGACGAGGACGAGGAGCCAGGCCGGTTTCTTTTCGACTCACAGAGTTGACCTGGGCCTTTAGCCTGTCGTGTTCTCATTTGAAAGTTGCAGATAAATATGACCTATATCTGAGTAAAAGTATTTAAAAGACTATCTTGTGAGTAGGAGGTCTGAGGAGTTGAAAGTTCTGCTCTGATTAGATACTGTCATGGTCAGCATAGGAAAGAGAAACAGCACGTGGAGATAAGGTGTTGGCTGAGCAAACGGTGGGGAGAGCAGAGTCCACAGTGTCCTCCCGCTCTCCTTCCTCCACTTTGCTTTCTTCCCTTTTGAATGTCTTTTCTTCCTTTCATATGCTTTCTTGGTTATGATCCATGTACATCAGACGAAGTTCTGGGGGTTGGTTGTATGATACAAAAACAAGTCGTGGACTTTTACAGTCAGAGTTCACACTGTCATGAACTTGGGAGTTGTCCTTACTAAAGATCAAATTAGAACTTAGGATTTGAACAAGCAAGTGTGAGGCTGAGCAGGCACAGTGCCCAAGAGCCCCAATTTAAGGAGGAAGGGTCAGAAAATATTATATAGATCGAGGAGCTATCAGTATCCTAGGTAATAGGAGGACACAATAGCAGGTTCATCCTTAGAGGAGTAGAAATAGCCTTACATGATATGGTGAGGGTTCCTGGAGATGCAATGATCAAGCTGCAGGGTCTTTGTGTGCTTGTGTATGTGTGTTTGTACATGCAGAGATGTGTTTGTGTGGTTTGTGCACATGCACACATATGTGTGCAAGTATGTGTGGTTGCATGTGCGTATAGAAGTTAGAGGAGAACATTCAGTGTCTTGCTCTATTTCTCTCTGTCATGTTCCATTAAGACACGGTTCCTAGCTAGGCGGTAGTGGCGCAAATCTTTAGTCCCAGCACTCAGAAGGCAGAGCCAGACAGATCTCTGTGAGTTCAAGGCCAGTCTGGTCTACAAACTGAGACCCAGGACAGGCACCAAAGGTACACAGAGAAACCCTGTGTCGGGGGGAAAAAAGCCGTGGTTCCTTACAGTTCTGGAGATGAACTGGCAGCCAGCAAGCTCCAATGATTCCCCTGTCTTTTCCCCCTACAGCACTGGGGTTACAAGCATACATGACCAGGTCCAGATTTTTATGTGGGGCTAGAATCCAAACCCAAGTTCTCATACTTAACATAGCAAGTACTATTACCAATTGGGTCATGTCTCCGGCCTCAGCTTCATGTCTTTGTAGAAGAGAAATAGTCTTTCCACATCAATTCTACTTTGCTGTTGTGCAAAGAAATCCGTCATTGATGGCATATAAATTAATGAATGCAACTGTGTCCTAATAAAGGCTTATTTACAAAGAAAAGCGGAAGACCACAGTTTGCTTATACTTCCTGTAGGGCTGCATAGGTCAATGATCACACGTGAAATGTACTAGGCTGCTATTTATGGGTTATATGACACTTTTCACTATAGACACAGCCTTATTCATTGGTAGGGCAGTCTTCCCAATAGCTAGCCATATGGTATTCTTGTTGGGACCACCCTGGGCCATGACTGAGGGTGGGAAGCAGGACTGACAGACAAAGCTTGTAGAGACAAGAGTAATAGGTATGGAGGCCTACTTGAATGGTGCCTGAATGTACCATTAAGCCAAACCTAGGAGATTTACTTTTCTTTTGATTTGAGTTTGTAGAAAAATTATATAATATGGATGGAACATTGCAATTTCTTCTTTTCCACTGGCTCAGAAATATAAACATCTATTTCCCACATTTCTTTGATTTAGGCCTTCGGGATTGGCAGGTTTTCCTTAACTTGACAAATGTGTTTCTATGTGGTAGGTATATGTCCTCTATTTTAGTAAGGATATTTGATCTAGGCTGTGGAAAGGCAGAGAGTTTGGACATTACCATTCTTGATATGTTTTATTTCTAAGACTCCACAACCCTTGGAAAGCACAAATGTGTTCAAAGTGGAGTCAACATCACCATTAAGCTGTTACAGGATCCTGGTCCAGAAGAAAGCATAATTGCTTCTATGATTTGCTCCATGAAGAGAAAACTCAAAGTGCCTGTGAACTTTTAACTCCACATAGAGACACAGGCACAGAAGTACAGGCTGTTCCCCAGAAACTGCTCACATCGGCCATGCCCCCTGCTGTCTCTTCTCACATCTCATCTGCCATGATCTTCCTCTTAGCTCCATGCTTCCAGCATCTTCTTTCTGTAAGCAAATTGAATCAGCTCCTTATGAAAGAATCCTTTTCTTTATATGCTGTCCTTTGTGCCTTCTAGATCTCAGTACACCACAGTGACTTCCTTTGTGAGCCTTCTCAGGGCACTCAGTCCCAACAGCTACCCACACTCCAGTCTTTTCTTCCCCCAGGATAATATTTTGTTAATTTTTTTGGAATTTTATATCATACATCCCATCACACTCACTTCCCAGTCCTTCCATGTCTGCCCCCTCTGCCTTATGGCTCCTCCAACAAAACAACAAAAGTAAGTTAAACAAAACAAAAACAATAAGTTTTTTAAGTCTAATTTGTGCTATCTGTCTTCTTCCTGGAGCTTGGTGAAACTCTCAGTGTCCTGTCCCTTAAATAGAACTGAGTCCTTCCCTTCTTGCCCCTCTGCTTGAAGGAAGCCATGTATTGTAGAGAGCTACACTTCCACCCCTGTATCACACATTATAAGAGTTCACTTTGATGGCTTCTTGTTTAGGTTGCTACTTTTTGAGAGTAGGGTGGGGGTTGGGGTAGGAGCAGGGGTTTCAAAGAAGTCTTCCATGTCCCTGTTTCTCAACAATGCATCAGCAATCATCGATAACACTGCCAAAGTAGCTTCCCTGTGCTTCCCAGTCAGCAGGAGCACAGATCATGAGCTTCTTCTACCTGGTTTCTGGTGACAGCACAGACCACGAACTGGCCCTTGTGGTAACAGGTCCTGGACCTAGACAAGGCCCTTGGAAGCAGCCCAGACCACAGACATCAGCATGGCCTCAGGCTGCAGTGTAGACCACAGACATCCACTTGGCCTTGGATGGTAACAGGGACTATAGTCATCAACAGAGACCATGACTGCAGTAGGACCATGGTCCCAACCTGGCCCTCAGAGGTAGACCAGGCCCATACATTGCTATGGCCTCAGGTTACAGTGCAGGACACTCAGATTAGTATGGCCTCTGGTGGCCACATGGTCTACAGACCTCAACATGGCTTCAGTTGACAGAATAGTCCATGGATATACGAATGGCCCTTGGTGGTAACATGGGCCACTGACATCAACACAGACCCAGCTGCAGTAGGGCCTCAGACCCAGACACTCGAGTCTTAATGCCAATCTTGTCTCTATCCAGCATTTTCAGGACAATTACCACTTTTAGAAATGACTGTATTCTAATTATTTCTGTCTCAGTTCTCTTACTAAAAGACAAGTCCCACAGGACCATTGGACCTTTGTTCCATCACCATGGACTCTGTAGTATCTAGAGAGACACTTGCTCATAGAAAATGCTCATTAAATGTTTGTGCATGTGAAACATCCAAACAGCAAAGGTAGCCAGGTAAAAAATGGTGAGGACAGCAATGATACTATTTATGAACAATACGAAGAATTGCTTATCGCATGTTTTATAGTTTACATAGTTTATTGCATATTTATTTCTGATGGGGGCTAGTAAATGCTGACGTACATGCTGAAAAAATGTTTATGACCTCATTCTTTTAAGTTTAAAAATATGACCTCGTTTATTAAGTTCCCTCCTGGCTGTGCTAGCATTACAATCTAAAGATAAGGAACTCATGGCCTCACCTGGTAAAGAAGCAGATATGTATCTTGTCTTGATACCCTGCAGGGTGGATTTCTTGACTGTGGCCCATTCTTTGTTCTGTAGGATGATGACTTGGAAACTGATATGAACAAACTGAGTTCTAAACCTGGTCTTGACCGACCTGAGGAGGAGCTGGCACAATATGATGCTATGTGTCCCGAGCTCTCCTGTAGCTTTGAGGTAAGCACAGGCTATAGTCTACTTTTTGGTGATTCATGGTGTGATCTTTGCGGAACCTGGGAAGCCAAACAGAGGCATCCAGAGGGATCACACTGTTCATCACCACCATTGTTCCTAGATCCTTCTGAGAGAAAAGGAGAAGGGAGAGGGATAGTGAGACCAGAACATTTTCAAAGGTCCTAGGATCTGATACTCTAGGATAGAATTGACATGAAATTACACATTACTTACTATGGCTTGCTGCGTGGGTGTAGAGCCCTGGCTCCACACTAAGAAGTAAATGAAAATTCTGGATGATTTAGGTGTGCTTCTGCCAAATTAGGAAGGTCATCACTGTAGACGGATTGTTAAAGGTCACCATCCAGATCCCAGGCCTTCTGCAACCAGTACAGGCAAAGTACACCTTGGCTCTGCTGCTGCTAACGCAGGGTGCTGCTGCTTCTGCTGCTCTTGCTGACATCGAGCCTCGGACCTGCCTTTTGGTCTCTACTATTTTCTTATTGCTTTTAACAAATTATGAGTCTGGCCACATCAAAGGGCAGAGAGAGGCACACATAGAGAGGAGTTGATATATCCTATTTCACTTTAGAAAGCAGAAGATGATCAGTGGTCAAAGTTTCAGTGAAGAAAATTTCAGTTCAGTGTAAAGACTTTAAAAAAAAACCCACAGAATTGTCTTCATATCAAAGGCACTGCCTGGGGGCACAGTGAAAGGCTTTCCTTTGTGTATCACTGGGGCCTCTATAAATGAGATTGTTCTCTCAGACTGTAATTGGATTGGGGGGGCTGCAAATTTTTTTCAAACTCCATAGAATCATACTAGACCCATCCAAATCCCTGTCTGAACCTGACTTTTGTGTGATTCTGGCATTTGTTTATTCTTAAAGTTTAGGTTTTTTTTTCCCTCTCCTTTGGTTAATTCTTTGAAAAAGCCTCTATATCACAAGGGTTACACTTAGTTTTGAATTCAGACAGCTAGCATAAGGGTCAAATTATATTATCTATCTGGAAGGAATTAGTTAACCATTAATACAGACCTTTTTCTACTTTGGATTTGAAGGAATTAGAACCCAAATATGGAGATGATTTGACCCTCGAGGACACGCTGTATGCCAATCACAACCACATTCCGAGCGCTGCCTCTCTCAGACATCAGTGCTTCAACAGGGAGCACAGCTCCAGGGGACGAGGAAGAGAAGACACAGTCCACACTTCCATTCTGGACACGGTGAAGTCGGGGAAGTCCAGGATACAGCCGTCCTCCAAACAAAGGCATCTAACAAATGCGAACCAAAGTATACAACAAAATGGCTTGGGGATAGATTCTTCTGGACACGGTACCTCTGGCACCCAGGCTTCCCTAGAAGAGGCCGCTTGGGACATAGAATCAATTTCTTGCCCAAGGATAACTTCCTCATTTTCCAACCTCCCTGAGCCGGAGGAAAGCAAAGAAGTCGCAGAGAAGCTTCTGCACACACATACCAAGCACATACCTTTCCATGATCCTCATCTTTATATGGCCCACGCCATGAGAACCAGATCTGCTGTGGGATTTGACACCATGGCATTTCCTGATTTCTGGGGCCACTGTCCACCTCCCACTGCTCAGCCCATGCTGGATCGCAAATGGGGTGTACAGAGGTGAGGGTGTTACTGAGTTGGAAGTTACAGATTTTCTCTTTTAAATAGTTTTGTATATGGAGTGGTTTATATAGATAATCTTCTAACTGTTGGACAGTGAGCATTAGCCTAGAGTACCTTAAAGCCCCTAGGAGACACATAATCTTGCCTCTAAATTGGAGCATTTATTAACCAACTGTGGGTAGGTATGTTTTTCTGGGCAGAGAATTCCTTGGATGATTCTAATATAAACCCTTGAGTCATATCCATGGCAAGCTATCACAACAAGGGGTATCATCTAGTGTTGCCACCTACTGGAACCTTTCCTAAAAGGAATCATTTCAGAAAAACAAGGAACGGAGTACTTGAAATCTCTTTTGTATTTACAGCAAATCGGTGATTGATTTCTTGTTGATAGAGAAGAGTGGCATATTTCTATTCCATAGTTCTAGTGTTTGGAGAGAGGTTTTTCTCTATCACTGAGGAAGGGGTGGAAAAACACCCCACATATTCACCAGGGAGGAAATCTGGAGATTATTCCCAGAATTCAAGAAAGACTGCATTGTCTTTGGATCAGCACAGTGAGATTAAAATTAAATCTGATAAGAGGAAGGAAAACATATTTCTCCTGAGGGAAAATATGGGTATCCATATCTGAAGCCAGTGGAGTCAAATGTACAGACCAGCATCTTTTTTAAATTTAAATTTCATGTCTTCAGCAAATTATTCTTTTGATGGTAGGGTTCAAGAGCAGTTCCCATATGAATTCTTGGCTGATCTCACCTCAACATGAATGCCATGCTTAGGCTCCTCAGGCTTAAGACGTCGTGGGTGGTCTGTCCACGTCTTACTTCTGCACAGACCCTCTTCCTTCTCGGTCCAGGCTTCAGGTTCACTTCAGCTCTACCATTCTCCTACCCAATGTCAACAAAATTAATTAGGAATGTGAGGAGAGATAAGAAATCCCCCTTCAATTTTTTCTCTCCCTTTTATTTAAATCTCACGGATACTTTTCTTTTCATTCAGACAGAAGGCTGACCTCAGCCTTAGAGAACAGAGTCCAAGGAATACAAATGTACAAAATAAATATGAAACAGAAGCCTTGTTGGAGCCACCCAAGCTTCAAGGATGCAAATAGTCAATAGTGGTAATTTCTCCCTCAAAGCTCCCTCAGTGCAGAGGAATCTCTTATTCATACAGCCAGAAGAACTTCAGTACCCTCGCCCAGATTCTCTTGACGACTTTCTTCAAGCTATGAATCCCTTAAACAAAATCTATTACCTTCCCTTGCATTCCTACTGTTCATGTATCCTTATGCCTTACAAAAGAGGAGAAAGAAGAAGGTTGGTGATGTCTGTACCCCTTGATCCTAAGGCTGGGGCATTGTTAAGCAGCTTTTTTTTCTGTGTTTTTCTAGTGACTTCTGAGACTGAGGTAAAGAGTGGGCACTCACACTTATATTGTTTCCAATTTTGTTTTCAAGGATCAAGATCCTTGAGGATGTCCGGAGGTTCCTACAGCCAAGTGATGTTATAAACAAAGTTGTCTTCAGTTTAGATGAGCCTTGGTAGGTGGACTTGAATATCCTTGGAATGGGAGGCATGGAGGATTCTGTTAATAGGAGTTAATAGCTGTGTTCCATGTTGGTAATCCACTTTTGTTCTGAAACCAGCATGGCGACTATTCTGTTTCAAACATTAGAAGAGACATCTTATCTTTAAGGAATGTAAAACTGTGTCCAAGCACAGAAATATGACATATTCACATAGTCTCTCTTTCCTTAAAGGCCCGTGCAAGGCCCCGTTTCTGATTGCTTAAGATTCTACTCCAAGTTTGAATCAGGAAATCTTCGAAAAGCCATCCAAGTGCGCGAGTAAGTAAGAACAGCTACAGGTATGGTTTCAGTCAGCACAGGAGAGCAAGTGTCAGCCTTTCTTACCATTATCTGTTTAGTGACCTCATATTGGTAGCTTGAAACCAGCTATTAGGATAGTATCTTTACCAAGAAAATTGGCAAATGCTACTTATCAATAAAAGTTTCTCTCTCTCATTTTTCAAATGTTTGTCAACAGACAATGAGGGAACCCATTGGCTGATACCTTAGCAAGGTAAACTGTTTACTACATGCATACATATAGTTTTGTTCCAAATATCACTTGCATATTTCAGTGTAAGAGACTTCTCTCAGTACATACTTATGCTTCCATTATGCCAAGACTGGACCTGTGGACACAGAAGGGTACATGACATTCCCTATTCCTTCTCCTGCCCAAAAGTATTAATTCCACAGGGCTGTATGTAGGAGGCAACCACCTTGGATTTCTATCCTTCATTCCAGGGACCTTGCTGTACACCCCTGGCAAAAGCTGCCAATGAGATTTTTATTAATAGAAAATGATTCCACAGGCAAAGGCAGACGAGGGATGGACATAACAAAACTAAAATGAAGGAGATGATCTCTTTCCAGTTGCAGTGAAGTAATCCTTTTACATGCTTCCTTGATGGAACACTATTCTGCCATAGTCTAGTAGACTAGACTTGCTACTTATACATCCCTTCTTCTATAGGCGAACTTCTGATAAATCATGTCGTCTATAATAGTTAATGGTATAGTAGCCACACATGCTGGAATCATACAACCAGGGCTCCTGCTACCTCTTTCTGGGTAGCCTAGGATTGAGTTGCCTAGCCACTCCATGCTGTTATCTTCTCACCTGAAAAATGAGGATAGTAGTAACATGTACTTCATAGTTGTTTTGACAGAATTAATTGATATCCATAAACCATTTGAATAGTGCATGGCACATGATAAGCACTCAGTCAACATGGCCTTCTGCAGGGACACATGCTCACCATGACTTTAACACAGAACTTACAGTAGCTCAGATTTAATATGTCACTTTTGAAGTTAATTTTTGGGAGGAGAGTTATATATGATATGATTTTTTTTGGTTCTATTTTTGTACATGAACTGCTTCAACAAAACCTGACACATAAGACAGAGACAAGTTAAGTTACTTGGGCTAAAGAAAAAGACAATTACGTCAACTTTGCAACCTATTTCTCCTACTATCAGCCCAGCTTCTACCCGGTCCCATGGCTTCTGTTTGTCTTTGCTTTTCTTACAACAACATTGGAGTTTGTTATGAAAAATTTTAATATAGGTTTAGGTATGGAAGGAAGAAGAAGAAGAAGAAGAAGAAGAAGAAGAAGAAGAAGAAGAAGAAGAAGAAGAAGAAGAAGAGAGGCAGAGAGACACAGACACAGACACAGACACACACACACACACACACACACACACACACACACACACACACACACACACACACACACACAGAGGTTGAGCTATACATACCCAAATGTAGGCATAGGTTTCTAAAGAAAGAGAATCACTGTTTACACTGTTTACACTGTTTCTTATTTCTAAAGTCGAAATCAAAGGACCCAGAAGGTAATAGTTACTTAAAAGTCTCTTAGGTGGATCGTTTTCAGTCTAGAATCTGCCTAAGTTGCTTCCACGGTTCAGTTTCTTTCTCTCTAGATCTGCCTTTGATCAGAGAGCAGCATCCTAAGTAAATCAGCTATAGTTTAGAGCAGCAGAGTAAACTGGAAGAAAATAAACATTTTAGTAAGGATTTTTAATGACTACTTTTTTGAGCTAGCACTGTGAGAACAGTAGATAATGAGAGTCATAGAACTGCTCGTAGGCCTGATTTACACCCCCAGTGGAGTATGCTTCAGTGATTGCATGGTGAGCTCATTGGTCCTGACAGCCACAGAGTGAGAGTTGGGACTCCATCAATTAGCTCTGTTCTACTCTCAGATCCTGTACCAAGCTCCACCCTTCCATAATTATCACTAACCAATGTTGTGCTGGCTGGTTTTGTGTCAACCTACCACAAGCTGGGGTTATCTGAAAGGAAGAAACCTCAGTTGAGAGAATTCCTCCATAAATTCTGGATGTAGGACATTTTCTCAGTGATTGATGGGGGAGGGCCCAGCCCACTGTGGGTGGTACCATCCGTGGTCAGGTAGTCCTGGTTTCTATAAGAAAGCAAGCTGAGCAAGTAATGATGAACCAGCCAATGAGCAGTACCCCTCCATGGCCTCTGCATCAGCTCCTGCCTCCAGGTTCTTAGCGTTTGAGTTCCTGTCCCGACTACCCCCAATAATGGACTATGGTATAGAAGTGTAAGCTCCTTCCTCCCCAACCTTTGGCCATGGTGTTTCATCACAGCAATAGAAATCCTAAATAAGACAAAGATCATTTACCTGGGGTCAGGAATGGGAGAGTGCGCATGAGTTAGGAGAAAAATATCACTTTTTTTTTTTTTAATTTTGAAGAGCAGCTCCAGCGTTTGCTCTTGTTTCTACAGGTTTGAGTACGACTTGTTGATCAATGCTGATGTGAATAGCTCCCAGCACCAGCAGTGGTTCTACTTCAAGGTGAGCGGCATGAGGGCTGCCATCCCTTACCGCTTCAACGTCATCAACTGTGAGAAACCCAACAGCCAGTTCAACTATGGTACGACCTATTGGGGAGCAGGGGGTTTCTGTAGCTATCATGAATGGCGATTCTTCTTGATTGTTTGCATTATTGTCAGAAGCCTTTTTGGCATCCCAGAAGTCTTGAGGCTGGACTGGTGGTCTTTGCTTGCCAGGGTGGCAGGACAGTAGCCAGTTAAGGGCATAGTGCAAAAACACAGAAGGCCAGTGAATGTACACTATGGTGGTATTTTATTTGTACTGAAATGTGATTTTAATTCTATGTTAATAAGTGAAGTTGCCCGGGGGTCAGGGCTATTAGAGCCATAGAAAGAGCATGGCGGTGGTGGTGCACACCTTTAATCCCAGCACTTGGTAGACAGAGCTAGGTAGATCTCTGTGTGTTCAAGGATACAGCCAACATTGGAGACACACACCTTTAAGACCTGGAGGGCTGTACTTACAGGCAGTGACAAGGCAGTCACATGTTTGGGTTTACAACCAATGAGAAGGCAGAACAGAATGACTATATTAAAGACAAACACACAGGAAGTAGGTCTCTTTCAGAGAGGTAGGACCACCGCAGGAGGAAGGATAAGGTTTTAGCTCTGAGCTCTGACCTCTTGGCTTTCTCTTTTACATTGGTTCTGTGTTTCTTATTTAATAAGATGGTTGGTTACATATACAGTACACAATATTGTAGTACATTCTGAGGTACAGTTTTCACTTTGGAGACTGGAAGGTGCTCTCACTTACTTCTGCTTTTCATCTTCTAAATATCACAAAAGTGATTTTTAGATATTGGTCTGCTTGAGGCAAGACAGGAGAGCTGCAAAACCTACCTGAACACTGCTTTATATACCCAGAAACTCTGGAAATGCGTATGTCCTGATGATCTACTTGGGGTAGCTCACTTGTAATGTATTTGGTGGCTTTGAATGAAGAACAAGTATGGGTACTACCTTTGTTTCATACTATATCAGGCTCTGCCTCTATTCCATACTGTCTAGGACAGACACTCATTCCTGAAGAAAGAGAAAATACGAGCCTCGAGTCTTGCATTCATTTCACAAAAGGTGGGGGTTTAAGTGTATGCAGGACTGCATTCTCTCTGGGGATTTTAAGGAAGAATGCATGTTGTTTTCCTAATTCGAGAGCTCCTTTCCTCACATCCCTTGGCTTATGGCACCTTCCTCTGTAAAGTCAGTAGTAACACAACACCTTTAATGTCTCTGGTCACATTGCTTCTCTTCTCTAGTCAAATATCTCTTTGCCTCCTCCTGATAAGGACATCCGTGGCTACATTCAAGACCCACAGGGATAATAACCTTGGCTCAAAATCTAAATTTAATTAGATTTGCAAAGTCTCTTTGACCATATATAATGAACATTCACAGCACAGCCTTGAGGGATCAAGAACTGGGTGTCTTTGGGGGTCACAATTCAGCCTACTGCTCTGCTCTCCATTTGGCTTCTTTTCTTTTCTTATGGATTAAGTCTTGCTTTTATTTCGTAGGGATGCAGCCGACCCTGTATTCTGTGAAAGAGGCTCTTCTCGGCCGACCTGCCTGGATAAGGACAGGCTCTGAAATTTGTTACTACAAGTATGTCCGTTGGCTTCATGTGATCTGCATGGACATTTGCTCTCAAATTTTTCTTTCTTTCTTTCTTTCTTTCTTTCTTTCTTTCTTTCTTTCTTTCTTTCTTTCTTTCTTTCTTTCTTTCTTCCTTTCTTTCTTCCTTTCTTCCTTTCTTTCTTTTTCTTTTTCTTTTTTTTTTTGCTTTTTTTTCTGTTGCTGTTATAAACATCTACAACCTGTTTGTCTGTCACACTTGTCAATGCTTGCCCTGAGGTATTTTAGGTTACATGTTACTCACATTAGACCCCTATTCAGTAATTTTGGAATTCCTGGAAAATGATTAGTTTTTCTTCACACGATTGTTAAAACTTTTGAGCTGGGTGGTGGTGGCACATGCCTTTAATCCTAGTACTCGGGAGGCAGAGCCAGGTGGATCTCTGTGAGTTTGAGGCCAGTCTGGGCTACAGAGTGAGTTCCAGAAAGGTGCAAAGCTACACAGAGAAACCCTGTCTCAGATAAAACAAAAAACAAAAAAACCAACAAAAAACCTTTTGAACTTTATCGCCAAGTCTTAGAAGTTACCCATACTGAAGCTGTAATTCATGCTTCAAGCCTTGGGTCCTCACCTGTTTTCACTGGACTCAATGAACAGGAAGTCTGAGAGGCTGTGTCCTGTCCCTGTGCACGTGTGCTTTACTTTTCAAGGGTACAGGGATATGACTAGATGACAAATGTACACATGCAGGGCTTCTTCCATCGTGAAACAGTTTTGTGTACGATACAAGACAGAGGGTTGCATTATTCATGTTTATTCTTCAATCAACAGCCAGTTTCATCAATTTACTCAGCAGATTTGTGACAAAAACTCAAATTAACCATATTCTTGATGAATTAAACGGATTTGTTATTTACATGCCCACTTTTCTTATATGGAAAATAAAATTCAAATACATAAATAGAGGCTAAGAAATGTTAGGACAGGCAGATTTTGCACAATGCCTTTCTAGCTCATTGCTAGATCTCATAAAAATCAATAAGCTAGTGCCCTTTTTATTTATTTATTTTTTTTAGCTAACGCAAGACTTAAAAAGACTCTTTCTAAGATTACAGCAGGTCCCTAACATACTACTAGGAGATAATCTAGCATTTAGGATGATTATCAGCATCCAGGAGAAGGAAGGTATATTCACCTAATGTCTCTCTGCTTCAAGACTCTGGGGATGGTATTGACAGGAAAGGTCAGGGGTGCTGTGGTTCTGTTTGGATAAAAGCAGAAATCACTATAGAGACAACACCAGCCCTCTATGCACAGAGCTGAGTTGACTAACATTGTGCAATAAAGGAGTTGGCAGCTTCGGTCCTCGATGTATTAAGATATGGATCCAAGCAGCATTTTCATACATTCTTTAGAAGAATAGCAAAATATTACAACTTGGTTGGTTTTTCCATTCACAAAATGGCAATTACTTCCTGGCCCACTTATCTTAGGACCCCTAGGACTCCTTTTATGGTACAGGGAGATTTAGGTTAAAAATCACCCCAGGGTTGCAGAGTTCACAATTGCAGGGAACAAATATGGAATCTAATTTTTATTGTGTCAGAAATATCTTTAAATTTCCTCTGAAAACAATTAGTGTCAATAGATGAAAAAGACTTAATATAAAACTTGCTAGGGTCTGAGATAGGAGGATTGCTCAAACCTAAGGTTTTGCATTTTTAAACCAATGGAATAGAGCTCTCCAGTGGGATGCTCTTCTTGGAACTGGGGATTAAGAATAAAGTTCAAGGAGAACAGGTGTCTTCTCAGAGGAGAAAGATGAAGACACATAGCCAAAAGCACAGCTCTGGCCTAAGGGAAGCCAGTGTTAATAGCTTTTAGATTCATTAACAAGACAATTGTTATGTGATTAAGGAGTAACAGAGGGGTACGATGAAAACCATGCATGTATAATGTAATTCATTTTTCATATTCTAGCTGTGAATGTAACAGAGATGAATGGATAAGGCCGCTACATTGTGATGCAGTTTGTTTTACAATTATTCACCACAGGATGTTAACACGTTTCCAATAATACGATGTAACAACAGGCTAGATATGTGTAATCTCCATTCGCCCACAGATTACAACACCTCCGTCTATTATGAAATACGTTTACTGAACAACCTCTTCTACCCAGTTTCCCATCACAATCTGTGAATTGATCTGCTGTAGAGAATCTCTTTGTTTCACTCCTGCATTTGTTCTCTCTGGAGTGTTAGTCAGGGGGACCCTTACCTCTTTATTTCCCACTCTTCTCCATGTTAGGACGAACTCAGATGCTCTGTTGTCATCATGATCTTAAATTCTCAGTTAGTGTCGTGTTTTAAGGGATGTTAGGATGCTCAATGTAATGAGAAATCTGAGTGTGGAAATGCAAGTGAGAAAGTGTGAAAACCACACTTTTGAGTAGTTTTGAAGAAATGTGGTAGTTTTCCATATCTAACCAGATTACTTTTTCACATAGCACTCTTGAGAAAGCTAGGGTGGGAGTTCTGGGGCTCGTCCTTGTACATTTTGCTCTTTTCCTGTTCTGTGTTGTTTGCGATTTCATGATGTCATCAATCTGTGATTTCTAAACAGAACATCACAAAGATGATTTTCTGCTCTGAGAGTGTTAGTTTAGATAAGCTAATCTACAGATCCATCAAAAAAAAAAAAGAGTGTGCTTCTGGTACTTAAATGTTTTGCCAGAAGCTAAAAGCAAAAGGCAGAGGGAGGGCCACGTCATTCCTGCTTTCCTCTCAGGAAAACCCTTGCTGGGGCCATTGATGCTGCGCTGCATGTCACACACGCAGCTGATGTAGAGTTTAGTGTGATTTTTGTAATCTCTCCAGGGAATAAAACAGGGCAGAGGGTTTGATTCCACTGCCCCCAAATCAAACTTGTTTTGTATTTATTCATCCTATATGGTTGACTTGGACTTCAGAGGCAAGTCGGGTCAATCCTCACACTAAACGTTAGAGATTTTAATTACCTAGCTAAATAGTACATTCCAGGAGAAATTTTAAGATTGTCTCTGTGTGCACAATTCAGTCATTTCCCCTGCTGTTCTTTCTATTCTGCTTCTGTATCCCACCTACTTCCAAGACCACTCTACGGGGCGGGGGGTGGGGGGATGACGCTGGAGATGGAAGAACCAAATGGGTGGGCTCATTTTTCTGTGCCTCCAGAAAGTAAGCAAGGACACATTGGTTTGTTTTATTTACTCCCCTGTGGCCTGCTTCTCCATCTGACTTGTAGCTTTCACACCTTTCCCAGTCCTCTCCCAGCCCTGGTCTAAAGCAATCTCGATGCTGAAGGGCAGAGGGAGGGAAGCTGTAGGCGCTGAGTGGCCATGTAATACACCGCAGCTGATCTCCTCTGACATTTATCTCCGCTCGTGAGAGGAGATGGAACAGCTCATTCATGAAGATGAATGCCACACAAGAGCACTGCCATCATCCATCCTTCCGAGGGATCTCAGGAGAGAGATTTGGTGCTAGATAGAATATAAGCGATGCTGCAGTCACAGGGAAGCCCCGCGACTCGACTGCCTTGCCTTATTAGATCCCATTAGGTAAAATGATGCACCATTGTTAAAGAGCCTCCGTCGTTATAAAATTGCCTAATTTGAGGAAGGCTTTCGTGTTTACTAATTTCATACACACACAGAACAACTGACATGACACACAACTTCCTGGACTATATCTTAGCACGAGTAGAGATGGATGTAATTTTAACTGCCTGGTATACTTTTTTTCCTGCCTCATTGAAGGCTTTATGGTCACCAGAGTGCAAATCCTTCTGAGGATGAATGGGTCAGGGAAGGAGAAGCTTTGAACTGTGGAGCAGCTGGGTTTGTGTAGCCCAGGTTGTCTCTGTCCCAACATGACCTGTCTAGGGTCCAGCTCATCTCAAAGCATGCTGATAGTCAGGCTTTTTTTTTTTTTTCCATCTAGAAGAGATGCTGAGAAGAGAAAATTGTTCTTGGGTGTAAATTTCCACCATTCCTTCACCACAGTGACCTTGGACAAATTAATCAATGTTAGCTTCTTTGTCTGTAAAATAGGGATAAAAATGGCATCTGTCTTCACAGAGCAGTTCTGAAGATCAAAGGGCACACAGTAAAACACCTAGTAAGTCAAAGACAGTATTCAATTTGTGTTAGTAATTTTTAGTGATAATTACTAGAATCATCTTAAAGGACTCAATTACTGATGATAGAGTCACAGTGTAGAGCTCACCTTAGCTAGCACTCACTGGATTGTTTTATATTCATTCCTTCTTTGTTTTAGACTATAAATTTGTAGCAGTCCTGGTATGTACAGACCAAAACTTCAGATTCTTACTTGCTTAACTGAACAAAATTTCTCTTACCCCTATGTCCATTTCTAAGAGGGAAATAATATAATGAAAGGAATCTTAGTTTCAGGGCAAAGTTCACACCAAGTATTGCTTATGTGGAATTACTCAAGATACTTCACAGAATTGAGCCCCAATGTTTCCACCGATAGAATGTGTAAAAAGTATTTACCTTGAAAGGGTAATTATGCCTGAAAGGTTATGTTACCTGGAAGGGTAACATTAAAATTGATGCAAAATAGGTGAGACATCTTAATTATTACTCAGGAAATCTTTGCTCCATTTATTCTATAAACTTCAACTGAACAGTTGCTGTGTTCAGACAAGACACACAAATGCCAAGCCCAACAACACACACAGGAATAAACCTGGTACTGTCGGTAGGTACCAGCAGCGAGGGAGGTACAAGTGTCAGTGGACTATGTGGGATGTTAGAGAAGGATTCCTGGAAGGGGAAGCATTTGAGCCAAGAGAGGGAACAGGAGAAATGGAGGTGACGATGAAGGCTTCCTATGCCCTTGTAACATTGGAAGCAGCCAATGTAGGAAGGTTGAATGTTACTGCCTTGAAGACATCCTTCAGTATGTTCACACTGTAATGGAGAAAACAAAAACAACTAATTGGTAGATTTTATTCTACCATGAACAAGTTGAATCATGGCAGCCACATTTCACTTTAGAGACTTAACAGACACACCGTCAAAGGTCTCTGAAAAACATCGTCTGGAAGCATTGTTACCCCTCTATGGTGTAATTACAAGAGAAGTTTCTAGGGGTAAAGTCAGCCATTTTTTTTTTTTAGATTCATCCAGAAATTAGACTCCTCACTAGAGGCTGCAGGAAAACTTCCTATAGCTGAATTTCCTTCTCTATAAGCTGATGTTTGGTTTCCCATTTCCTTCAGCCCTAACAGGATACAACCACCTTGGAAAAGGCTAGTTTGCCAGGGAGGAAGTTGATGCCCTCAGTCTATAGGGGTAATGTGAAAGATGAGTGTGTGTGTGTATGTGTGTGTGTGTGTGTGTGTGTGTGTGTGTGTGTGTGTGTGTGT